CCTCTTCCCCTTTAATGTAATTGTTAAAGTATCAGAGCTCACATCATACCATGTCAGAGAGGAAACCTCTTTTGTCAAGAAAGAGGAAACAGTGATGTGATTGTTTCGGTGGTTTTCCTTTTTTCCTTGGTCACATCTTAGACAAGTTAACCTCTTTAATTAAGAGTACTTAGCTGTGTGGGCCCGGATGGGGCAGGAAGCGATTGTTGAGACCCTGCCAAGCTGGATCGGGTTTCTCGGTGGCCCATGCCTCTAGCCAAGGCTGAATGGGAGGCTGGCTTGTCAGCAGATGCTGTGCTTGGGGATCAGTGTCTCTCTGTTGGGTTACAAGAGCTCTTTTCCTCAAGACAAGAGAGGGGAGAAAAAAAAAGAGGACGAGTAAGGGGTGTAGTGGCGAAACAAGGATGAAGGGGGAACTTGTATTGTGAGATATGTGCTCTGATGTCGGAAACTGAATCTTTGGCGTGGGCTGTCAGTTTGTTTCTGGCCCAGTGAGCATGTCAGCACAGCATTGTCCTCTGTAGGGATATCATCAGCAGCAGTGCAGTATATCAAAACCTGCTCGAGAACACGACACAAGCCAGTCACTTAGCATGAGGGGAGGAATTCACCCTGAGTGCCGCTGCAGCAGGGGAACACTGTGTCAATGCTACTTACATGTACTCTGGGACCGAATCAAAGAAAACAAACTCGAGAAATTAGGTGGCTTAGTTTAGCTCTGCGGCCTGCTATGGCTAATATGTGTTGATTTGATCGCACTTCCACGGCTGTCAAAAAGTAATATAATTCTCTGCCGCCATGAAAGATGTGTGGGGCTGTTTAGATTTTTTCATCTCACATAAGTCCCATATAATGAATCACAGTTCTGAGTCTGCAGTTCCGGCAATAATAAGATCCAGCCCGCTGTGTTCGCATGGTAATTTCATCCAGCATCTAACCCTAAATGAATACATACGTCATGTGGTTTATATACTGTATCTGTATTAGTTTCTCCAGAGCTCCTCGAGAGACGCCTCTAATTTCAGTTTTTGATATCCTAAGTATGCTTTATGCCTGTGGTGACATGGAATGTTCTACAGGGAGAACCTCGTAATCCACATGTTTATTGGTCTGTTTGCCAGACCGAAGAGCGAGACGGCTGCGCTCAGAAAGTTTCCAGTGTAGAGAGAGACGTCACAATACAGTTAGAGCCAAAGGAAGTGCACGTTTCTGATGATACAGTTCAAAACTAAATCAGAGAATTGATTTTTTAACTTTCTTAGCCATGGCTTCGATCATTTGAGTCAGTGCGCGGAACATCTACTTTAACAACAGCCATTAGGAACACATGTTAGATTTTTTTATTTTACTTTAAATATGTTTCACATAATATCGTGACTATTAATTGAACTTTATTTTATTGCAGGTTATCAACATTTTTTCTCCTTCATAGTTCGATTCTCATAGAAGCGTAAATGTGTGTTTGGGTGTGTGCTCTTGACTCCCAGGTGCCCTTGATTGACAATGTGCCCGGTCCATTATCTCCTTAACGGTGACTTCTTCTTTACCTTAGCACGCTGTGAACTGAAGCTGGCTACCCTCTTAGTGTATCAGTGTGCTGAAACACACCCATATAGAGTTTCCCTGTCATGAACTAACATATACACTCTGGGGTCTACAAAAGTTCAAAGTTCTTGGGTGTCCTGAGGGACAAACCAGAGTGAAAGGATAGACTTATTTTGGTCTAAATGACTCCAAATGACTTTAAAATTACACCCTGCGATGTCTAGACTCTTTGAAAAATTCACCATAATGCCTATATGGTAATAACATCCATTAAAATGAGGCGTGTGTTTCCTATAAAGCTGCTGTATCTTTGTCTCGCTGTGCGGAGGGCAGGGTTTAACATTTGCACCTGCAGATGTCACCTAAGTACTTCCTGTACAACATTTTTTAAGCGATCTGAGGGGGGACTACAAATGAAACGGAGGACTGTGTCTAATTGGCTATTCTCTTTGATCCAGGATCAATCTCTACCATATGAGCTGTGGTTTTTGGTTGAAGGGAAAATTGAGAGGGATGGCAACCTCATTTCCCAAGTTTACCACAGGGTTCAAGCGTCTATAGCTTGTGGTCAGTGCCTTCTTGTATTTTCTCGTTATGTGTCTACTACCCTCTTCTCCTCCTCTTCCTCCTCCTTCTTCTCCTCTTTCTTTCTTCTCTCTCAGGAATAGTGACCCTTGAGGGCCGCTAAAGTCTTCACCTTTATACCCTCCGAGCCAAAGGTGGCGGCCTCGCTCATATCTCTCAGATTAACAACCTACCACATCCAACGTGATGCACATGTTCACACTCCTCAGTGAGCCCCGCTTTCTTATTCCGTACCTGTTCTGGATTTGTATTAACTTACAACAGTAGGACCTGGGGGTAAAGAGCAAAGATACAATCAAAAGCATGAGGTTCTTTAGTTTGAGATTTTTGAACCCAAAACAGACCCTCTATTGTTACGGGACAGAGTCCATCCATCCAACATGCGCAGAGATATTTTTGCATCTTGAGATGTTTAATGGCAATGTCAACAGCAGCGGCAGCAGCAGCTCAATTGAAATGGAAAAGTACTCTGAAATCAGAAAGGGGGCTCTGGCTGTAGCTGCCTGTGAAAGCACTCAGGCTCATCTGGAGCTGTGGGCCGCAGCGCATGCAGGGGAATTTAAACCCCACCTGTAACTCATTATACCCAGGCCCTGCACTGTGCACCATCCACATTTTGATCTTTCGCCATTTCATCTGAAATAAGTTCCATGAAAAAGAGCAACAGCGGATTCGGGGCGTAAGTGTGTTAGGCCGGGGCGGCCGACACAGCTGCCTATGCTGACTTTCTCTCCCCCCCTCTGGCTGGCCCCCTGACTGTGGAAGATTAGAGACAGATTGCAACTTGGGACTCTGGCCTTGTGGTATTTGGGATGTGATGGAGAACATTCAGCATCTCTACTTTGCAGATTTTGTACTGATTTACTGTTTATTTTACGCTCACAGTAAAGAGGTGAAACCGTTAAAAAAAGCAGCGGGGTGTTATTGAAAGCTTTGTTTTTTTTCTTCAGGAAGGTTTGGAAAGATGGTCTTGTGTACAGATGTTTGAATTATACTTTTTTGGCACTGCTTTGATTCAAAACGGACAAACAAAAGGTTGTTCAATATCTGCCAGTAGCAGCGTAATGAGCTCATTAAACAGAGAAAATCATAAAAGCCACTCTAAAGACACTTTGTATTATTTAAAAGGCTTTGCATCATTCAGTATTTGGTAGGAGTATCAACTTACAAGCCAAATCAAGGATCAAGTGTCCTCTTTAATTATCTTTTTGTGATTTTTTTCTTACATACTTTAAATTGGTTGCATTTCATAGCTGCGCCTGCGGCGGTAGTTTCAGGTTTGGCTCTGTTAGTGAGACAACTATAATGCTCCAAACTTGGCATTCCTACTGTCTGGGCTGAATTCCAACAGACCGAAAAATGCACGAAAAAACTTCAACATTCATGCTCCAGTTCAGACACAACGTTAACAAGCGCGCTGATGATGAGTTCAGTAAAATAAGCCGTACAATTATTCTTCTTATATAAAGCATTAAATAGGAGCTGCTGATAGTGTTTTGCTGAACATAGTGGAATATAGGAGGTAGAGTCAGGTGTGTTTAGCATTCAGTGTACTCCTCACTGTAAGTCAAATTGCCTTCAGTGTCTTCATGGGAAATGTGCTCCCTGCAACAATTGGCTGACAAAGGAGCAATTTGCCTCAAAGATGGTGCTGCTTTGGTATTTTTGTTTCCCTCATCAGCACAATTAGGCCCATTTATTTCTTCCATCTTCTGCTAACCAGCCATTTTCCTTCAGAGAGCCAGTTCTATCTCAGTATGAGTATCCATTTAGTCAGGTTTAATAATACACAGAGCACAAACCAATTTATTTATAAATTCATTTTGCTGGGAAGGTCAGAACACAAGCAGTGGGAAAACACGCTCTTGTACGCTGGAGTAGCATGTTATACTGGAGGTCATAAACACTCATATTTAGTAAAAGAATCTGATTCATTTAATACATTGAAAAGTGAAAGTCTAAAAGCTGTTAATAGCATGAATAAGGATCATAATGGGGGTGGAAAACCCCCATCCTTGGTTTTTTGACTTTAGCTGTTCAACGGTGCTGATCTCTGAAAACTCAACCGGTGGGTGTTAATGGATGAGGGGGCATGGAGTTGAACTGGATCAGAGTGGAGATGGACTGAACATGGATCTGGTGGAATGCTGGTGTCAGCTTGCAAACTAGAGGGTGGCCACTACAAGGTGTTAGAGACCAACGTATGAGGGTTGGGCTGGTAGCTGGTGAGGTTCCAGTTCACCTTCTGAGACCTGCTGAGGTGTTCTTGAGTGAATCATCAAAACTGCCTTACAATATGGAGTGACCTCACTTGTCCTTCAAAATATTTAGGGTTATTTTCATGTTTGGGGTTAATGTTGGGTCATCTTTTATGGTTGTAGCTTGTGGCTATCTCAAACACGACTTTGCATGTTTGTGAGGGCCTTTTGCATCATCTGCAGAGTAAATAATGTTGTAAATTATCTGTACTTCCTAGGCTGTAGTGATGGCAGGTGTTGGGTTACTTACAGGAAGGTTTCCATGTGTCTCTCTCTGACCTTGGGCTCATTTCCCTGTTGGCACACCCGTGCAGCACGCAGGATCCTTCTGTGAAATGACTCATGCCTGACCCGAACACATACAGGACATGCAGTGGTAGAAAAACAACCCGGTTTTCTTCATGAGTCAATTTGTGGATCTGTTCCTGCAGTTGTTTTTATCATTTGAATTTGATTTTGAAGGGCAATCTTAAACTGATTAGAGGACTGTCTGGTTTGTTATCTATCAAACTTAAAAAATAAAATCCTTTAGACAAGATTATGGCTTCTTCAGTCTCTTAAATATACATCAAGTCTTTCTAAAACATAACTGTAACTTTGTTACTGGACAAAATGTCACTAACTTCAGTCAAGTCTTTAAATTCTCATCTGTACGAAGCACCTGGCCAGTACCTCATATCCACTGAAACTTCCTGGTTCTTGGAAATCAAAACCAAACAAGCATGCCAGTGTTTCCCTTCAGACACCTTGAGCCAGTGTCTTTCTGAGGCAGCACACAGACTCAATGAAGTCCCTGTGGAGCTGCCAGAAGGAGAGTCCAGCTCTGTGAGGCCAGGTGATCTTACCTGCCGGCAGATGATAGCTGCATTGTTCTCTCTGACTCCTCTGTTTGAAAAGTCCTCTGGATTCAATCGCGAATGCCCCCGCTGCTTTGATACAGTTGCCTGGATACCAAGTCCACCTGGACTAGCATATGGTCCCAGCATGCAGCTCTTCATGTGAGACAGCCGCTTCGCCAAAAACAGTCTTTTCTCTCTCTCCCTCTTTCTCTCTGCTGCTTCGTCTTTTCCTCTCCCCGCGTCTCTTTACCTTTCTGTTGATGTCTTACTTTGCTTTATCCCACAGGAACTTATTTCCCTGTGATCGAATGGTGTGAAATTCAAAGACTTTGCAGCAACAACATTTTTGCAAAGTCAGAGGAAACAAATTGAAATGAATCTCAACCCCCAGCTCAGCAGTGATACAACTCAAACCGTCTCTGAGGTCTTAATTCTGTCACTGATGGGGTTGGCCTGCAGCTCTAATCACTTCTGCAGATACTCTGTGAATAGACATGTGCAGGGCTGGCTGTTCTTCTAAACACAGCCTGTGAAAGTTACTGTGACAGGCAGAGACGTAGCTGTATGGAGTAATTATACAGCAGATGATGGATGGGTCATAGCTGAGACTGACAGGAGGGATACAGAGTAAGGTTACGCTGCACGGCCCCTCAGAGACCAGCTTAAAAAGATGCACAGAACCAGAAAACTGAGATGAAAATCATTAAATGTTGTGCAGACTGTCGGGGGGGAAAGACGTGGAGCAGACAGAGACTCTGCGTGGGCCCCGAGGGGGAGTTTCAGTGTAGAACAATAAGCAGCAGAGTCACAGGAGAATGCATATCAATTCCTCTGACTGACTCTGATGGAGATAACAGCCTGTGTCTGGATATGACAGAGTGCTTTATGTAACTCTATAAAATGCTTTTTTATAGACTCTGGACAAGTTACTTGTTGAGTCATAATAAATGTCTGGATAAGGAAGTAAATCACCAAAATCAAAAATTCCCAGATTGGAGGAGAAAAAAGGGAGAGCAGAATCTGTCCTCGTATGAAACCGTGTTGAACTGGAGCACAATCATCAAATATGAATGGAAACAAAAAAGCACATTCAGACACCAGCTGTTCTATCAAAGCGCATGTATTCAGATAATTTCGCCTTCATGTTAAGTGAATGAGCTCATTTAGTTCTGAACAAGTTGCACAAATGACTGAGATACGTCGTCAACGGTTATTTTGACTTCAAAGACATCTTCACAGACTGACATCTTTCACTTTGAACGTCTCATACATTTCAGAGCAGCCTTGATAAGAGTCCACACACTCACACTTTGTTTCTCAGTCCTCAAGAGCTTAATATGAAGATAATGAAGGGAGAGTAATTAAACTGTGCTGTTGTTTTGTCATTGTGTTTTATTGTTCTGGTTTTTTTTTTCTTCAGTCAGAAGAATATTAGACTAAATTCGACTATTGTTGCGAGCTTTTCTGCACGCGCAGACCCGAGCTCGCCGCTGAGTTTAGTGAGTGCTGCTGCAGGGAGTGATGAGAGATGAGGTCAGAGGTCAGCGCCGCATGTGGTGAACTCGGTGAATGGCTCAGGTTAGACAACAGATGCAAACACCTGCAGCTACAACACACTCAGCTCTGTCGAGCTCATGTAGGCACAACTGTTCGCTGATTAAAACCAGGACTAAACATATGTGGATCAGAAAATAAGAGTTTTTAGATAATTACACAATTACAATCCTGTAACAGACAACCTGAAATCATCTCAGAGGAAAATGTCAGTGCACCTCAAAGCTTCAGTGATGAAAAGTTTAACTTTACATTCAGGTTTTTCTAATACAAGCTATTTTGTCTGGCCTGACCTTTTTCAAAACGGACAATTTTAGAGAAAAGTAGTCCAAAACTGCTAAATAATTCAATGCTTAAGGTGACAATTTATTTAACATTCCCTCTATTATTACCTGATTTCCAGCTGTAGGTTCTTTCTTGGCATTTCTATGAAAACCTCCCAACATTTGTCTTTGTGTGTTTTCGGCTCGCGAAGCAGCAGGATGAATAAAACATGACTTGGGTGCATCATTTAGCCGATTCCGCATCAAATCTGCTCTGTGCTCGGCTTGAATAATGTAGATAGGTCCCATCCAAAAGGTCATTGGATATTACCTTTCATTTTGAGCTTTAATGTGTTTTCTGCAAACAGGTGGTATCTATCACAAGCAATGTAAAGTCAGCAGGCGTCTGCAGAGCTACCCAGGCAGAACTGAATGAAGAGAGTCGGGTGAAACCAGGGCCGGCTTCAGCCGTTTTGGTGCCCTGGGCGAGATTAGGGGTTGGTGCCCCGTTTGTCACCAGTGATTGGTTTTACCATGACATTTTTCCACATGGCCTTGTGTTATTTACAAATCATTACATGTCTGAAAGTGTAAGTTAAAATAGCAGTTTCTGTCGCAGAGCACTTTTCTGGATTATAGTTACCTTAAACCCTGCAGCATGTGAAGGCATCCTTCCTTTTGTACTATTTCAGATTGATATTCTTTACTTTGGTGGCTTTTTATTAGGGATGCACCGATCCGATATTGGGATCAGATATTGGCTCTGATATTGACAAATTACCCGGATTAGATATCTGATGAATGACGCTGATCCAGTGTTCCGATCTAGTTCTTATTTTTTCTTTTAATTAATATCAGACACAGCAACACAGCGATTCTGTTCGCTCTATATTCTATGTCTGTCTATCCTTCTGCACTAAATGTTTACATGGAAGTCTTACTTCTTTTTGCTGTGTGCTTATATGCAATTTGTTATTTGTTTATAAATAATATGAAGTCAATTTATATCTGTGTTAATTTGTCACTTTTTTTTAACAAGGCTAATATCAAACCTGATGCCTTCACTCACAGGGTAAGGTATACAGTTCATTCATTCAGCAGTAGTATTGGATCGGTATTGGATATGGGCCAATATGCTCAGCCCAGGTATCGGATTGGATCGGAAAAAAATGGATCGGTGCATCTCTACTTTTTCTGCACTCTGGGAACAGTATTTACATCTTTACATCTTTACACTAATGACCTCATATAAGAAGATCAAGAATATAATCCTTTCATGAGACTGTGAGGGAGAGTAGCTTAAAATCTCACCAGGGGCTCGTAGAGTGGTATTGTGTAGACAGTATGGAAGCAGTAAATGCATCATTAATGTTTGCACCACATTTAACAGCCGAGGATGGTATTTGGCAATGAGGCATCCCTTAAAAATCATTTATTGTCTAAGTGCGTTGAATCATGTTCATAAGTCTCATCCAAACACGACTAAAAAAAAACCTTTAAGAGACAGATAAGTAAGTAATCGCAGCGATTAAGAGTCCTAGAGTGGACAGAGGTGTGATGGCTCAGAGCTTTATGTAAGAAAAAGAAAAAACAAACAGGCTAACGAAACAATGATGGGATGAAAATAAAAATAGTGTTTATAAAAGGTTTTCAGACTTTTGTGACAGGGTAGATTGAGAAAAACTGTCCAACTGGAAGATATTTGTTTCTTTCAAAAGATTGTCTTAAAGCTTTTTCACTTCATTAAAATCATCTGTCATCATGTGTGGGGTTTCTCACATTTTCAGCATCTGTTCAGATTTAGATACATTTTTTTACTTGTATCAGGAAAGGCCATTAAATTTTGGTTTGAGAGCTTCAGACTCAAATTCAGAAGTGTTCCTGTAATGTCGAGTGGCATGATTTCAAGTTGCCCCACAGTGCAGAGCCTCTTTGTTATGAAGTTAAATTGTTTTTTTTTTCCTTTAATTTGCACCAAGCAACAGATTTCATCTATAATTTCATCTACAAGTATCATAAAAGGATTATTTAACAGTTATGTCAAAATAATTCCCCTCACTCTTACTTATTCCACTGAATGGGTCCCAGTGCACCTTCATGAACTTCAGCCACAGGTGCCTAACGACACCGCTCTCATACACTAAATTAAACAATCATCTCTAAAATCATAACGGGCCGCAATTAGTTAATTACACAAGCAAGAGCAATTAGGAGGTGAGACAAACAAAGCGTCGTGACTGGAAACAGCCGAGGGAGTTCTCCTCCTGTCACCACTGATTAATTCTGCTCAACGCTAAACTTATTTGTCCCACAGAGAACGAGGCTGTGACAGCTCACGTGTCACTTACGATTTGCATCGCCTCCAAGCAGAGATGATATGTGATGATACTGACGGATCCTCCGGGGTGGTGACAAGAGGCAGGGGGTCATTAAGTAAAGTGATTTCTGGTCAAATGGAAATGCACCTTTCTGGTCTCATGTACCAGCTGTTCTTAGGTAAAAGAGGACGCTCTCGACATCTTCACCAGCAGGTGTTTGACAGGTAATTTGCTGCTAATTTATTTGCCACTTTAAATCATGTGACAGATTTGGGCCCAGCTTGGATCCGGGGGTCATAGTTCAACGTGGTCATCCTGTAAAAGTGTCACTAAAGCAGATTGGCTTGACGGTCTCCACTGAGCGAGTGGAATAACTGAAGGAGAATGAGGAAAAAAACACGGGGGGAGGTAGGAGAGGTTGTAGTCAGAAGGACAGAATGAGAGACGGATAAGAAAACCAGAGCAGAGAGATCGCCCGTGGCCAAACTCCCGCCAGCCTGGGGCTGCCAGACAGAGCGTCAAAGCTTGGTGGAAATGTGTAAAAAATGCATTTGTAACTGTTGCTGTGGAAGAAGTGGACAGTGATTTCTCACAGGTTTAGCAGAGAAAAGAAACAACTCCTCGAAACCACAACACAGCGGGCACAGAAATACCTTTACTGTGTCGAGAAAAGAAAACATCTGGGAGTTAACGCTCAGCTCTCTCAACACTTGTCCAGTGTACCATGTTCACATGGCAACCATCTTTATCTGACATCTCACTGGGGTCAAGAAGATCATACAAGAAAATATTGTGTAGCAGTTTCTCAAATCTTATAAGTACAGGGAGTCTTGGCGTCATTATCATTTCACCACTTCTGATTGATCAGCAGGTGAAGACAACTGGATAAGGAGAACCCAGAGGACATTTGACAGTGTTTTTAGATTAAAACATCATCTTTTATAACCTTGGTACCTGTCACTGGCGACAGGATATGCCAAGCCTGTTTCTTATTAGCTTCTTTGTAACTCCTGGACCTCAATTCAAAA